AGTAGTAGGCACTTGGATTTAGTTAGTGATGAGTAAAAACCAAGTATGCAACTAAATTAGTTGCTTAAATAAATGTATTCCTAATTATTCAGTTTACTAAAAGCAATACTTCTTTGAATAAACTCTAAGCAGACAATTTATTGCTAAATTTACGAGAAAGTAAGCCTCTCCCTTTTCCCATACATGAACTTGTGATTCAAACACACAATTGATCCACATGCTTTAACTACTGTTTATTTACATTGTTTATAACATGTAAAGTTAATTCATTTGATATTTAACAAAAGTGAAGTTTGTGGTTATCTATGAGTTGCATATTTTGGTAGTTGAAGTACTGTATACTATATGTCATTCCTCTACATTGTTAGTGAAATAACGTTTTTAAAACTTTTTTTCTACTATCAAAAAATGTTATTCAATGGCCATTGTTTTTCGATTATCTCTCAGAATATTATTTGCATCTGCTGTAATTGTTAAAAAACAAATGCTTTTAAAGAAATTTAAAAAAATCACATATTGATCTCAGTTCAAAGGAAAAAATAAAAGTTATTTCTAAATTTACAATTTTCACCTATAAACCTCTTAATTTCACAAAAGAGTAGGTTCTTTTCCAAATAAATACATCCTGCCTAATATTGTGTGTTTAGATTAGATCTTTTGCTTTAACTTTGGAAACTGAGATCATTTTAGATACTATTTCTGTATAAACTAATTTTTTTTTTCATATTACTGTAAACCCAATGGGTTTTGATAAATTTACTCTGCACTATGGAATTTCCAATAAAAAAAAAGAAAATTATTTAAAAAGACCATAGATTAAAAATAAGTAAGGCATAACATATTTTTAATCTATGTTAAAGCATAACTATTTTTACATAATGAAATTAAGTAAATCAAATTATTATTTGTGGCTTTTATTTATTAAATCAATTAAGAACATAATATCAAAACAAAATTTAATGACAAGAAAGATAGACGTTTCGGGTCCATCATGGAACCATTCTCAAGATCAAGTAAATTGAAAAAAAACTAAAAACAAAAATGCCAAGCAGTGACAGGAAGTAAGTAATTAATTTACATATCAATAGGGCCTACTGTGTGAAGCCACAATGGAGCTAAGCAATAATTAGCCCTTCTTAGCAGATTAACTAGATAAACAGTTTGGCTTTGACTGATTTGTTTGTTAAGTGTAGGTTTCAGTTCTTTGATCCAAAGCATATATTTAATCATAGAGAAAATAGAACACTGTTCTATTTTCTCTATGATTTAATTAAGCAATCAAACTTGGATTTGCACTTAGATAAAACCTTGAAATAATTAACAGTTTCAGTAGCACTAATATAATGATCTTTTAAATGTTGTCCTATGTTACCTTTACTGTGCGTAATCATTTCTTATTTAAAATAGAATTATTTAATCAATCAGTAACTTGTGTTTTTTTAAATGAAATTAATGATTTTCTTTAAAAAGATGCTACCCAAGGCGAGACTTTTTTTATAGCTTGTTTGACAAACTCGCTGACTATTGTACATTTTACTAAAAAAGTTTCTAATACCATGGAGGTATTTTTATACCTTCCTGCTAATACTAAAGATGTGTATAAGAGACAGGGTTATGAGTCTCAAGAAGCCTTCGCCTCTGAAAGTCCCCATAGTTGGTATTCGCCACGTTATTGGAAATTTTTATTTCAAATTTCGCGAAAATGGTTTATAACATTCCCTGCAAGTTCGTCGTTCAAAACCGGTGCCGAATCAATGTTTTAGAGTGTCCCATCAGAGCCATTAATAATAATAATAATATTAATAATTGGCCCCAAATATAGTAATAGTATCTAATAATATTAATAATTTAAAAAAATACTTAGACCTACTCCCAGAGCTACTCATAGGAGCTAAAAACTAATTTATTTTAGTTCTCAAATATGCATATTCTTTATGTTGATTTATTAATTAAATTTTTGCTACAAGGTATTTTACAAAATTTATTTTATTTTTTTTTTCTTGAATTTTATAATTGAGGGCCATTTTTTATTTCTTGATTCAATTCTTGCTTATACAGTATTTAAATATTTGAAGATTAAAAAAAATATATATCATTTCTATTACCGAATTTTTCATTGGGGCCATTTTTACCTACTTGTCATATGGGGCTATTTTTACCGGGGCCATTTTTTCCGGGGCCATTTTTTCCAGGGCCATTTTTTCCGAGGCCATTCTTACCTACATTCGTTCTCACAAGCTTATGACATTGTTGGCGTTGTCATGTGGTAGCCATCTTGTGTGGTGTTCATTTAAACTATGGCTATTAATATTCTAAGGTTAAATGTTAACGTTTGGTACTGTAAATATTTCTAAAGCCACAATTACACTAGAGACGATTACGACACGGCAATGACACAATACAGATGCGCGTAGTGTTGAAGAATACAAACTACGCGTACGCGATGACCTGTAATGTGCCGTAATCCTGTCTAGTGTAAATGTGGCTTAAGTCAGAAAAGTCAAGTATTTATTGACATTTTTAATGTACGCTATAAAAAAGGCTGTTATTTTGATTGATATTAATATTTGTAGACGGAATTACAATATAATAAAAGTGAACATTTACGTTCTGTATGCTTTATTTTTATTATATACTTTAACCATATTATTTAAAAAAAGAGACAGAGTTTCAAAAACTTTCATTACTTATATATTACTTGGCCGGATTCTACATATTTATTGTAATATTACTGTAATTATATATATAAAAAAGTTATAAAGTATTTTAATTAAATCTTCATTACAAAATTATATTGCATAGTTTTAATATATATATATATATATAATGAGAATCATTGCTAGAAATTTAAATTCATGTATATATATATATATATATATATATATATATATATACATCAATTTAATTATTTATAAACTTTAAAATATATACTACATGAGAAGTTATTATTCAATTAGGTTTAATAATGTTAGCCCACATAAAACCACATAAAATGTAATATAACATGAATGTAAAAACAAATATAAAAATAATTTTTTGCATGGTTTATAAACATAATAATCGTTTAGCTTCCGGTTTTCGCTATTATTATTTTGTAATATCTTGACTCACAATTTTAAATAAAATTACGCTGATGTCAACTGGGTATGGAAAAGTAAAACCTATGTATGGCTGTAGGACCAATAGTACATTAAGAGATTTTTATTTTATTTTCTGTGGAACTTACTATAAGTAGACTACCGTCGGCCAACACGATTTCGTGGAAAACGTAACGTGACGAGACGCTCCCAGCGGATCGTTATCCGCCGCAGACTGCCAATCAGCAGACGGCGCACAGTGGGCCAGATTGAAGTCAAAGCGTGCCAAAATTAATTACTCATTACAGAAGCTAATCTGAGCGAATACAAGACTTATCTAGAGGTTTTCATACCCGTAGAATTCAATAAAAGCATTTTCAAATCTATATGACGTCATTTTTGTACTGTTTTCTGATTGGACGATGTCAGTTTTCATTGTAATACCAGGGAACAGTGAAATTACAAATTAATTTTGAAATGTTTAAGGAGGTTTGGGACAAAAGAACTTCTGTGGAAAACTTTTTGTATTTTCCATGACGTCATCAAAGTACATTTTTCTGATTGGACGGGGCCAAAAGTGGCATGCCAACATAAAAATGTCTATTGTTAGTCTAAAAGACAACCTAATTTTACATTTTTTAAATGTAAAATGTGTTTGCATCTGAGATTCCATGGAATTATCAGACATTGCCTACACCAATGTCATGATAATGATAATCATATATTGTCATATAATTCTGTCCCCAATCGTATTAGGCCTATATTGTAAAAGTATCGATAATGGTCGTTTTATGTTTTTTTGATAATTCTCAGTGCTGTATGAACAAAGAGGCTTTGAAGAGGAACTTTTGCTGGATACCAGGATAGCAATGCTTTTATGCTACTCTTTATTTTGGTGTAAGGAGGAGTCTTATTTTAGTATGGAGCTACAAAGATGGACAATGTTTCATCTGTCGTGAACGATTCCGGTTTGCGCCTCAGGGGTGACGCCAGCAGGGGGAATGGGGCAGGGTCCCCGTCGAGGAAAGCTTCCACCTCCCCCACCCCGGCGTTGGGGAGATAAACTACAATTCGTCAGGGAGAAATAAAATGTGTATGTATTTTCTACATATTAGTAGACTCTAAAATCGATTCTTCTTGAATGCCCC